ACTTCACCCTCTTTCATGGGCTAGTGTTCTTTAAAATTGCAGGGTTTTCTGATTTCACATACCTATTTCAGTTGGTTTGTCCAAGCTATAGGTGTCGATCTGCAACACTGAATAGTTAAATGTTTGGTTTTTTTTTAAAAAAAATATATATTCTTTTTTACAGCAACTTCAGAACTTGGCTCCAAGACATGTAGGCACATGAATGATGAATCACAAGCTATGGGTGACCTATGGGCTACTTTTTTCTGCATTCAAGTGCTAATGAGCTAGAATCTATCAACAATATGATAACAGAAGGCATTTGTCCTCTGTAAATGCCTCTTTGCTGGGTCATTGATGCCAAAACTGAGCCCCCTACCTTTCCTCTTGCCCAGGGCCTTTCCTGCCCCCCCCCGGCTTGGTTCTAAGCAATAAACTTTGCTTGGCCTTGATGTCCCCTGAGAAACAATATCCACTACACTTGATGCCTCCCCACTGCCAGTTGACCCATGGTGACTGTGTTCACACTTCACCTAAAACCACTGCTCAAGGGCAAACCACAAATAAGAACAAGCTCATTTACTTGTATTGGGATCACAGCACAGTTCCATTCCACTGTGACAAAAGGCTTAAGGGGAATATTGTGTCATTTCACTGAGTGATTAGACATGCCCCCTCTGGCCTAAGTACTGTGGAGATAAAACCAGTTGCCTTCACCTTTCTTACCTCCCGCTTCATATTTGTGGCACTCAGGGCATTTTCATAAGATATAGGCTTAATAGTTGGATCTGAGAGGTGAAAATACTAGGAAATGCAAAGATAGATTTAAGTGCCATTTGTGAAAATGGTCTTTGGACTTTTTTGTTTTGCTTTAAAACTCCGTATTGCTTGACAGTCCAAAGTCTAAGGCCATTTCCGTCAGAGAAAATGGCCCTATTTTTTTTTTAGTTTTGTTGCTGCTCTAAATAACATTTACTATAGGACTTTTCTACTGCTGGCTCTAAATTCATAATGTTGTATATGCTCTTTTAACATTATGAAGCTTTCAGCTGCTATTATATTTGGTGCTGGATTTTACAGCACTGCTGTCTGAGGAACGAACACTGCTGTCTGTCATCATCGCCTCTTCCTCTTCTACAGAGGCAACTGTTATTCTATTAAATGTGTGGGCTTGCGTATATGAAAGCTGTAAGAAATCATTGTAAATGGCAGTCACTGTTTGCCACAATAGTAGGAACCAAGTTCACCCTCCTTTGCCATAAGACACAGCTTTTATCAATCTTTGTATTATTTACCAGGGAGGTACAAATATGTGAGGGAAAGCTGTCTCTCATTGGTAGAGCATCTGCCATGAATGCTCAATATCTGGCATCTCCAGGTTTTGCTATGATTATTTTACTGTTATTGAATTTATATAACACTCAACACCAATAATAATAATAATAGCAACAACAACAACAACAACAACAACAACAACAACACAACAATAATAATAATATTAATTTATTTATACCCCGCCCATCTGGCTGAGTTTCCCCAGCCACTCTGGGTGGCTCCCAATCAAGTGTTAAAAACAGTACAGCATTAAATATTAAAAACTTCCCTAAACAGGGCTGCCTTCAGATGTCTTTTAAAGATAGAATAGCTGCTTGTTTCCTTCACATCTGAAGGGAGGGTGTTCCACAGGGTGGGCGCCACTACTAAGAAGGCCCTCTGTCTGGTTCCCTGTAACCTCACTTCTCACAATGAGGGAATCGCCAGAAGGCCCTCGGTGCTGGATATCAGTGTCTGGGCTGAACAATTGGGGTGGAGACGCTCCTTCAGGTTTACAGGACCGAGGCCATTTAGGGCTTTAAAGGTCAGCACCAACACTTTGAATTGTGCTCGGAAATGTACTGGGAGCCAGTGCAGATCTCTCAGGACCGGTGTTATGTGGTCCCGGCGGCCACTCCCAATCACCAGTCTAGCTGCCGCATTCTGGATTAATTGCAGTTTCCGGGTCACCTTCAAAGGTAGCCCCACGTAGAGTACATTGCAGTAGTCCAAGTGGGAGATAACTAGAGCATGCACAACTCTGGCAAGACAGTCCGTGGGCAGATAGGGTCTTAGCCTGCGTACCAGGTAGTAGACAGCTGCCCTGGACACAGAATTAACCTGAGCCTCCATGGACAGCTGTGAGTCCAAAATGACTCCCAGGCTGCTCACCTGGTCCATCAGGGGCACAGTTACCCCATTCAGGACTCAACTTGGATACCACCATCCCCCATAATCCTTGGGATATACAGTCAAGGATCATCACAGGACAAGTATAAAGTGCTGAAGGCATTGTGCATTGCATGTGAAAAGGTACATCCAACAAGGAACCTATTTCCTTGTTGGAACTCCCCCCATGAAATATCTTTTTCAAACTGCTTTTTCTTTGCCTCAGACAATCTCCAAATTTTGACTGGGAGAAACGAGGCAGCAGGGACACAGTTTTAGGGACGTAATATGTGTCAGAGAAAGGGTTCAGCACCCCTCTCCAAGTGGAATTCCCTCTCCCAATATATCTGTTAAGCACAAGCTGTGTTCTAACACATGGATCTTGCTGCCTTCTGAAAGAGAGATGTTTGACATCTCTCCTAGCAGGGACACAGAGTAGGTGAGGTTCTCAACTCTTCCAACCTTAAGAATCATGCATGTAGTCCAGCATAATGTTTCTGACAGTTAATAGTATTAGGTTCCTCCAAACATCTGTAAATATGGATTGCTCCATCTTCTTACCAACTTCTGAAAACAAAATAAAGTTAGGGACATCTTAAAAATGGAAATGTGTTCACTCAGCCATGTATAAATCCAGCCATCTGGTTGGCAGAGGCAGCTGAAAGATTTATGGCTAGGCCATTTTTACAACCATGAGAAACTTGGCTTTCATTTTTAAAAATATACGTGGCTCAAACCTCTATGGGAAACTATTGTGGCATCCTTTTACCCGACCATCAAATGTTTCTCTAGAACTTATTTTAGGATAGTCTTCCCATCTGGTGCCATCTTCAGAACCTAACATGGACAATGTGCCTCCTGAAACCACATTTTGTCAAGCAGGAGAGGTTTATTACAGAGACGTTATTGAGATCTTACAGTCCAATTTTGCACATGTTTACTTAGTCCCATTAAATTAATGGGGCTTAGTCCCAGGTAAGTTGAGTAATTTGATTATAAAACTCACAAGTACATGGTGCCCTTCTGTGACTGAATATCGTTCTTTGCCTCTTCAGTGATAGAATAATGTGGGTATCAAAACTAGTCTGTAACCCTCCCTCCCCGACAAAGCATGTGCATCTAGCCATGTGCTAAAGTACAAGATGGAAGGAAAGCTCCCTCTGCAGATGTACTCATTGGTGAGTCCCCTGAATTCAAGACTTGCTATGTCTAAATAATGAGAGCTTGTTCTGCTTGCTCTCAAGGCATTTTAGAACTTCAGTGGGTGTGGGGTTAGGATTATGGGTGGAGCATATTTAATTACAGAATGCAAATACATTTATTCTGTTTGAAACAGATGGGAACATGGGAAGCTGTCTTATACCAAACCAGATCATTGGTCCGTCTCCTGATTGGTGCTGATCCTCCAGGACTTCAGATGGGGGCTTCTCCCAGCCCTACCTGGTGGTTGCGACCAAATCCAAGACCTTCTGCATTCAAAGCAGATGCTCTTCCACTAAATTATGGCCCATCACTGAGAACAATGGCCCTTCAACAATAAAACATTGTGAAACATTGTGGTCCTAATTCAGCTAAAGCTAGATCTTGCCAAAGTTTTTTTTTTTTTAATGTATACTGCCTTTCCATATTGCTATACACAAAGCGGTTTACATGCTGAGGAAACAACAAAATAGACAGCAAAGATCACACACGTAAAGTTGCAATCATAAACACATACACCAGGGAGTATATTCCATTGAACACAGTGGATCTCTTCCAAGTAAATGTACATATGATTGTACTGCTTGTCCTACTGAAAACAATGGGGCTGAAATTAGGCGTTGTAAATGGGCTTTCTTGGTTTCAGTGAGACCTCAGCTGCAATCATGTATGCTTTACCAGGAATCTACAGTTCTTGCTTCTGAGCAGACTTGTATAGGATTGCACTGCTAATCACAACTTTGACATCAGCTAATGTCTTTTTCTGTGCATATGTCCACAAAATAGCTAACACAAGATATATTAGTTTTAATTAGAACTTGTAGCATAATTTTAAAAGCAGATTGACTGACAGATAGGTTGTTTTTTTAAAAAAGAAGAACATAAGGGAACCAGACATTAAATGGTTGAAAATCTGCCATGGCATTTGCTGAATCTTGTTTTATGTAGTACTAAAAACCAAAGACTCTGCTAAATTTGATTCTTTGTGGAGTAGTGCAAACTAATAAGAGTCATAAAACAGATACTCTCTTGGGCAGGTGGCCATGTGTTAAACTGTTTGCTCCTGCTGCTAGAAAAAGTACAAATAAATTCTTAACATTATTGCTTTGCTGTGCCTCATTCGCACTGATCTAATGCAAGATATCAGCACATTCTATATTTCCTTTAGATCTTGTACATAGTATCCCAAAATTATCATCTTAATGGGCCTGATCTGCTGACATTAAGAACTTTAAAATCCCATTTGTTTCATTTTTATTAGGAATAGTAAAAGTACAATAGTGCAACCCTATGCATGCATGCTCATAAGTGAGTCCCAGTGTTTTTAACAGTCTTACTTCCAGGATTACAGTCTGACTCTTCAATATAATTTAAGAGATTTTCATTATTAGCTATGATTAAAGTGAGCACAGGTGACTTTGGCCACACCCACCCACCCACCCACACTTTTATATATATAAATTTGTCCCAAACCTGAGGTTCTCCTAGGCAAATTCTCATAATGCTGAACTAAATGAAACTAAACTATGGTTTAGCATTATATCTGAACCAGTTCATGGTGCGTTATGAAGTGAAGGGAGAGAAAAGGCCAGCACTTTCTCCCCTCCTCCAATCTCACTGAGAGCCAGTGTGGTGTAGTGGTTAAGAGCGGTAGACTCCTAATCTGGGGAACTGGGTTTGCGTCTCCGCTCCTCCACATGCAGCTGCTGGGTGACCTTGGGCCAGTCACACTTCTTTGAAGTCTCTCAGCCCCACTCACCTCACAGAGTGTTTGTTGTGGGGGAGGAAGGGAAAGGAGAATGTTAGCCGCTTTGAGACTCCTTAAAGGGAGTGAAAGGCGGGATATCAAATCCAAACTCCTCCTCCTCTTCTTCTTCTTCTTCTTCTTCTTCTTCTTCTTCTTCTTCTTCTTCTCATGTAGCTAATGCAGGAAAATACAGCAAAGTGACAGCTGGAACATGTAGCCACATTCACAGCCTTGATTTTTTCCACTGCAACCACAACATAAATTTGCAATGCAAGCAGTGATACCGAAAGTGTTATAGATGGAGGGAATCAGGCTAGAAGCTCTTTTAAATCACACAGCTATGCAATCTAATAATGCAGTTTGTATACTGGGGGGGGGGGGGACTTGAGAAGTGGTGTAATTTAGGGCTGTGTGATCTTTATTCTGCTTGCATTCTGTTCATGCCAGTCAGCTCACCAAACAAATCTAGACCCTGATAGTCTGGCAACAATTAGCTACATCAAAACACAACGTGTTCCTCATTGACTAATTGCCATGCCACTTGAAACAGTCTTGCATATTCGCAACAGGTTTCAAAGGCGTGCAGTTGGAGAGCCCCGGCAAATGACACACAGATGTGAGTCGTTCTCCAAGGAGTGATGACTCTACTGGCGCAATCTAAAGTGCTGCCATTGCAGCAGTGATTGCTGGCCAGCTAATGAGGTCCTTTTCTTTTAAAAGCAAACAGTTCCCTTTAGCACGATTTGCATTTCAAAGGCATATAAGCTTCATTAAATATCTCCTTCAAGTTCTCTGCCATTCCGCTCTCAGTCCATATGACAAAACTCCACCAGCTGGAACAGACTGCCAGCCGCCATTCACCTCCTCATAGCTCCTTTCACTGGCACATTATACCATAATGATAGTTGCTGCTTCTTCTTTTCCTCAATTGAACATGCCTTTGGTAGAACAGCCAAATTCTTGTGACCATGAACAAGTTGATAGGGACCAAATTCCTCCATAGTGAAAGAATCCAGGAAGTGGCATTTGGACCATTGGTCTATCTGCTCACTACCATCTTCTACACTGACAGGTAGTGGTTTTCCAGGATTTTTGGCAAGGATTTCAACCCTACCTAGAGATGTCAGGTACCTGGGACCTTGTGCATGCAGATTTTGTGCTCTACTGATGAGCAGCAGCCTGGTAGGTCTGTGAAACACATAACGGACTGCAGTTGTGCTTGTGCATGCATGTGTACACACAACCCCCAAAGGTATGAACACATTATTGCTTTCTCCACATCCGGTGCTCCCACGCTGCTAGATTCGGAAGTTTCATGCACATGATGTTATCTAAACTCCAAATGGATCCTGTGGTTTCTTGAGAAATACTATTACTTGATGCATTTCCCCTCCTCAAAGCAGCTTCACTCTGCCTAGAAAACTTAAGCTGTATTGACTCTGTACTTAAGCCAAGTGTGTACATTTGAGACAGCCATTGCATATGAGCACATGCGTAAGACGACAGCTTCATGAATATGAGTTCCAGGGTGGGTGGGTTGCAGGGGCAGGGAAACAAAACTGGGCATGTGCTTAAGGTGAAGGCTCCCTTGTCTGATGTATATAGCATCATGCAAATGTGACATGGAACACCACACAGTGATGGGGGAAGGACCTCATTTCATTTTAAGCTACTAATGTGTACATACCCACAGTCTCTGAGCATATTCACCCAGGTTAAGATCCCTTTCATTGGACCAAACTCAGATCCCAATCTGATAGGTTGCCACCATTCAAGACCAGGCCCTGCTGACATCACACACACCTTCACTCCTCCAGTCTTTCCTGCATGCATCTGAAATAATTTGTTAAAGCTGGAGTGGGCAAACTTTTTGCTGTTGTTGGCTGTATTCCTCGGGTGGGGAGTAACCTGTCTTTGTCAGGGGCTGTATGGGTTATCTCCGATGTAGCACAGACCTCTGTCAGGGCTAGGATTTCAGCTAGTGTTCCTCTCCCCATGCAACTCCTATATCTGTTCTGTGGTCTTGGGAAGTGACATGTGCCGGGGGAGGGAAGACAAAGAAGGCCCTGTTGCACAATCTACATACTAATGGCCATTGCCATAACTGTGGAGCTGATGATGGGGTGAGCTAGCTATAAAGATGTTTGGATTCACAAATCTGGATGAAAGACCACTTTTCTTCAGTTTTTACTATAGTCACCTCAAAGTAAAATTCTCAATCCTATATAGGTCTACTCAGAAGTAAGCACCACAGGATTTGGTAGAGGTAGAGTTACTGTACACTCAAATAAGTCTACAGAGGATTACGATGATTTCCTTTCTGACTAGTCTGATGCACGACCACACGCACACATACAGAGCAGAAACTACCAATTTGTTCTCAGACAGCTGTGGAGGAAAACCTTTTTCCCTTGACATACAACCAGGGAAAAGTTTTTATTTTTATTTTTTTATGCTTATTTATGTAATGACTCATAGACTGCTTTTCAAAAAAAAAAAAGCAGTTTGTAAACTAAGAACCAGCATAAGCCATGCAGTAACAACCATGTTACTTTTCTCCAATAAAATACTGTCCCTTCCAATTGTTCTGAAATGATACAGAACCAAACAGCACGTGCGCGCGCGCGCGCACACACACACACACACACACACAGACACAAAAAGCCAAGAAAAATAAAGAGAAAACAAACAGGGAGGAAGGAACTCTGAAGGTGTTAGAAGAATGGGGAAGCTGCAGAAGGTGGTTTTTTTGTGTGTGTGTCTGGGGGAGACAATAAAATGAGGTCATGGGCTGCATGAAGCTTCTGGAACAAAGGTTGCCCACCTGTGTGTTGTGTTAATATGCCATCTTCCCTTTTCATACACAGACACAAGTAAATTGCTCGGGGAGGCATTTTCTGCTGGAAACAATATCCTACTATCATACTCAAAAAGAAGGTAGAAAAGTTTTCTGAGCATTAACCACAACGCTTGATCATAAGAATAACATCCAGCAGGATTTGTTTCTCAGTAGCAGAAAGAGTTTCATGGGAACCAAGCCTCAAAAGAAAAAAATTATATGTTGTATCCATTTATTTGATGTTAACAGGAACTTTATAGGCTTGGACATGCTATGAAAACAGTTGTGTCACCATTTCCATTTTGGCTATTCCTTTGTTCAAGAAGTTTTGCTTGCTATTCTTTTTTGGTAATATGGAGATCAATTATCTGTGAAACAACAGTGATAACAAAGGAAGCATCATTAGCATTTACATGGCTAGAATATGGTTAGAATGCAATTCAAAAGTTGGAAAAGACACTTTGAATATTTCTATACAGATAGGTGCAAGGGAAATGAAGAGAAAAGTTATTGCAGAGACATTGCAAACCTATGTAGCTATGCTATAGCTGATTGTTGCGTAATATTCCTTTTCAATTAGGGGTGAGGAACCCGAGGTCCTCCTGATGTTGCTGGACTTCACTTTCCATCATTCATGACCATTGGCCTGGATGGCTGAGGGTAATAGATGGAGACTAGACAGCCAAAGATGTTGTATCCCATATTTAAGTCTTGTGGAAGATGGTACATTAAAGTTTATGGCTTAATACCTTCTTAAACTATAAGGACACTGGTTGCCCGAATTCCCTGAGTGTGATTATTGCAGTCATTATTCCATTTTAATCGTTAAGTATCCATTAAGGATTAAAGTATATGGAATCACTTCAGTATGGAGTCTTAATACAATAGAAATTCCAGGTCAGGCAACAGAACATGCCTATGACTTGCAAATGACAAAGGTGCCTGAAGTTGCAACAACAGTGAAGAGACAATCTTATCTTCATATCAGTTTGGGATAGTAACCTGAGGCAGATAAAAACCAAAAATGGAGCAATAGAATACCAGATCTTTCCACCTTAAGTAGCACATAGTTATGAGTCAACAATAAAATCAGGATTCCACATTCCAGACGAAAAGGAAATGTGTGCTCCCCAAATACATTTAAAGGTTGATAGGACATCAAGGATCCGAAACGTTTCTCAGAGGCTTTCCTAACATTGGTGGAATGTTTGGTAGACTACGTAATTCAAATGCTACTGTTTGAATTGTTCCAATTAGCCTTTAAAAAACAAAAGAACTTGATGCTGCAATCACCTTAGCCCTTATATGTGGTAATAGTTAATGAAGACAACAGAGAAATTTGGCTGCAAAAAGTAGAGTTTGGCGATGCTGTAAAAACCATTCTGATGACTAGAGTCCACTTCGTCAGATGTATGAAGTCCTCTGTTGACTGGTCCTCAAGAGAATATGTCATTATAAAATTTGTGTGAGGTGCCACAAGACTCTTTGTTGGTTTTGTTGCAAGAGAGTAACATGGCTACCCTTCTGGAAATTGATATTTACTAGTGAGGCATGGCTTTGCTACAGGGAATAGGGAGGGAGAAAATGGTTGATCCAAGGTCACTCAGTGAACTACATAATCTGACACTGTAATTACTGTACCACCCTGGCTCTGTATCTTCTCCTTTTATATCCCAATCCCTGTCCAGATCAATTATTATTTTGGGGGTGAGTGGGTAGGTAGGAAACAAAAGAGATGGAGTGGGGGAAAGGAGGGGAGGGGGTGGAGGGAGAAACATGCTTTGTATCTCACTTTCTGCGTATATGTATCATGCACTAATGGTTATTTTGAGTTTTCACTTGATAGAAGCATGTTGCCTGGGAGCAGCATGCCCAGAGTGAGTGTGCAAAACTGGCATCTTTTAACATTTAATAAAAAGGGAAAGATGTGTCACGTTCTACACATTTGGGTGGGAGTGAGCAGCAAAAAGGCGCAGCAAAGGGTGAAAGCGCTGAAAATGGATTTGACATCACCTGCATCACTTGCTCCTCGCTGTCAGCTCCGCCATAGCTGCTAATCATGTGTTTGGGAAAATCCTATGTTGCTATGGAACAAACTGAGATTCTGCCTTAACCTAAAGCACATTAGATGGAAACAATTTAGTCTGCATCACCCAGCTGAGGCTTATGCTCCGACAAGGTTGCTGGCTTTTATTTTTCCTTAAAGATCCCTGAAAGCACATGCTTGGCCTTGGCCTTAATACAGAGCAAAACTGGCCTGAACAATCAGCTAAAACCATCTCCCACTTAACACCTGACATTTTGCCGTTCTGAATTATGCTCCTGTCTGAG